CGTGCACCCAAATTACTAAGAAACCTTAGTTTCGGGTTACTTAGGAGGTGTCTTATCTACAGGAAATCGCAACTTTCCCTCCCTTTACATTTGAGGGTAACCGATTCTGTACAAATTCTCTCCCAGATTCATTAGAATCATAGCCACAAGTAAAAAGAATTATCAGAGATTCCACAAAAAGTGGAAGCAGAAAAAAAAGTAGTGAATGGGGGAACTATGTGGTGGGCTATTGAAAGCAGTGCAAATATGGCCTACAGTTCCCATAGTCAAGCCGATATGTTGGCCAGAAAACCCAACTTTATGCTGTATGGGCCTTGAAGACACGATAATTTGGGATATCTAGCTCAAGTAAAGTGATAGATGATAATAATAGAGTATGGTGAGATAATAGTGCGAAATTGACGGAGAAAGAGCGAGGTCGGACAGCTATGAGAATCATAAAACTCCGAAAGAGTTGCGAGAAAGGGATTTGTACGAGATTATGTCTGTCTGTAACCGTCTGGGTGTCTCCCACGAAGGCGTACTATCCGTCGGCATCCTAATGCTTTATTGTCAATGGTGCAGCCTCAACGAGGCCGTCATAACACTGCCACTTTTGCTTGTGCACGTCGACCAAGCCGCTTTTAGAGCCCTCATAAGGAAGTCTTGCCGAGGTCGCTTTTCGACCTAACAATTCGACTCCTGCTATCCTCGGGAACCTCAAATTCATCATGAGGGGTAATCTGAGAAACCATTTCTATCGTGAACTGTGCCTCGGCATCGTTATTCCTTGCATTACAGTCTACTTTATATTATTGTTTGGGTAAGGAATTTGCACGTTCGTTCTCAATTAAGGAAGTTTTGGTTCTACAGGAGATTCTCCGATGCTTTGATGCCATATTGTGATTCGTTTTCAGTTTATTCTGTTTCAGTAATCTAGTCCTTAACATCAATAGTGGTCTAGTCTCAATTAAGATCCTTATACCAATACTTTTTGAACAGCGATTCGCCGTAATCACTATATTCCTAGACAATACAGTACAGGACAATTCACCAATTATGATAGTAATATTCTATTCCTTGCGAGAAACACGGAACCATCATGCCAATCCCAGAACAAGAGGGTTACTTGGGACTATTCACAAGTCGTTACAAGAATTCCTATACTTTCCACCACTCCAAACATGTTTCCGAAATATAGGGAGTATTTTCATTAATTTCAGCTTTTTCGGTCTATCCACGATATTGGGTAACAAGGCACTCTAGGTTGTTTAGGCCTTTCTTTTCAAAAGTCTTAAGTTGCACTTCGGCGATTCTTATCGCTTCGGGTCATCTGGTCACTGTGGCATCTCAAAATGAATTATTGTCCTTTCTGAGTCCATTATTTCTGTTCAGAACAAGTGGTAATTGAGAAGCTTTCGATTTTAACAGGTAGGGAGCGGATCAACTGGATTAACTGTTGACCACGAAACTTCCAAACCAACAGTAAAATGAAAATGTATTAGATTCATAAAGAATTATTTTTGAATGGAAAAGTAGAAGTACCGTTTTGGTGGCGGTGTAGAGTCGCTCATAATGAGATAACATAAACGTTGTTATCGGTGACAGCGTAATTCACATAAAGATAGGCGAATAATCCAATAAGACGGTTGTCGTGTTTATTTAGGAGGTTCCTGTTTCAAAAAGAAAGACTGTGTCTTTACTATCGAATACGGTAAAATTGAACAGAGCACAAAAATGAATGCTCAAGTAATTACTGGAAGTATCGGAAAAAACCGTTTATCGCATTCCTTTCGCAGCAACACATGCCAAGTGAACTTCTCTTAGGAAAAATTTGGAAAGTTTTGAATAAAAAATTATATCAAAAGTAAAATATAATGCAGAATAAAAATATTAGGAAAAATTGGAAAAAACTGAAATATTAGGTTGTGCGGAAAGTATTGACGACAATTCCTTAGTGATCTGGATCTGCTCTGAAACATTTTGGAATTCAAAAATCAATTTTGCTTGGGTTTTTCTCATATCTTCCCATCTACGATTCCTACAGTGCATGAGCGGTGTACTTGCAATCCAGCCTAATTTAGGTTCCTTCCACTGCAAATCTATTATTTCTTGTTTGCATTCTGAATTTTTCATTAATATTTACATTAATCAATAAAATAATTCAAAATTAATTTGCTTTGATTTTGTCATTCATGAGAACTGTAGCTTTCAGATGATTCGGTTTGTACGGCGACCTCTTCCTGTCCTAGTAATTCTTTCCCTAATAAATCCGAACATCCTGAAGTTGCTACTGGTGAGTTTTCGTCTGGTCATAAATGGCCCGGGCAAGTCGATGAGAATTTCTGAAAAAATTGTTTTCCTGAATTTGATTCTTTCTTAACTTCAAATTTTTCTGGAAGAATTTTTTCGAGAATCTAGTGTATAGACAACTTACACTGGTTTTCCTTGTAATTTGTCAGTAAAACCCCTGTCATGCCGTAAAACTACAACTTTTCCAGTTCAGAGTACAGTTCTCAGTTCATCACGAACGGTATGTAGGGTAATGGAAATGGTGTCGAGCTCGATGAAAGAGTAAGTCTTGCCACAACTCCTTTTCCTGGTATAATTTATTCAGAGATTCTTCGATTACTAGAAAATACTCATAAGTCATTTTTACTCTTTTTCTTTCTCACTTCAATCATAACTCGAACCTAGTGTACGTTTACACTTGACGAACTAGCGGCCCACTTCAGCTGCTTCTGTTGCATGTTGCTGTTCTACTCATAATATTTTGCTAACTGTTCTATATAGAGTTTTTATATTATCTCCTGAAGCTTTTCACTGGAACGATCCATCGAGGAGTACTTGGGAAAGGGTCAATGCTGCCACGGAAACGAAAATTCGGTCCGGGTACTCGGCTCTTACAGTAGCCTCCCCAGCTCCCAATACCGTACTCTTGCTCAAGCCCCCTTTCCGACGTATCGTATATGTGACGGGTGAGAACTTGCGTATTAAAATGGGGTTATGCCATGCCGGATTACTGTAAGAGCCAAGTGCCGTACTGAGTTTTCGTTTCTGTGGTCGGGGAACAGTTTTTTTGGAAGGGACACATTCGCCCATAAAAGTCAAGCGAAACTAAATTTGCCTCCCATGTAGCACAGGCATTCCACTTAGCACCTGCAGGGAACTCGCCCCCTGACCTGTGAGCATGAATGCATCTCAGTCTTTCTCCGATATAACAAAGTTTTTTAGATCTCATATTGCTATTGTACAAGTTGTGGAGGAGAACATCTACAGACCAGCTTATGGACATGCTATAAGTAAGTGAAACTTGTAGCTTATCCAGTATACAGGCAGGTGCCAAAAAATACCATTAGACTGTTTCGCGGGGCCTATACAAAAAAACTTATTGGGAAACGGAATCATGACGTAGCTTTACTTTTTTCAGTGAGTGTCGCTTGCTATGCTAAAGCTCAACGCTATGATCACTTCATTTTGGTGGACCAGATGTTTTTTGCTAAGTGCCTCCATAAGAATGTGAGGTTTTTTTTTCGAAACTGAATACGATGGAATTCTGGTAACGCTAGAATTCAAAATTAACTCTAAAATTAAGCGCTCAACAGTATTTTTCTGCAAATATCTGACTTACAGAATTCAGAGATTCTTTCTTCAACATTGTATCGTTGCGTATGTACTGAGAAACTACGATTACGTGCTGTTTTTAGATACCAATATCGGTGTCGTCAACCCAAAAAGGTAATTCATTCCTGCTTAGACCATCTGTACATGTCATCCGTAGAGTATTTAATTTATTTAATTATTAGTAGCCTAGAAAGTGACCTCAGAAGATAAGAAAATTTTGCACCAGAAGCCCACCCATGGTAGGCTTCATGCCAATTGCTCTACCTGATCATACTTACAATTCTTCTCTCCTAGGCCGATTTAGGCCGATTTGATGCCAATAATTAATTCTNAGGATTAGAGGAACTTGTCTCACCTGGCAAGGGTGGTGTAGTTGCAAGTGGCACACTGTCATGAACGCAACATGAACGGTCCGGGATCAAATCCTGGATCGATACCAGCCTAGGAAAAGCAAGCATTCCATCCCTCTGAGATCGGCTAAGTGGTACCAGATCCGTTTGGGTGGTTTAAGGTTGTCCTATTCATCGGGTGATCAACGTGAATCACTGAGTAGGCCACTTTCGAATCCATAGCGTCTGCGATTCTGAGTGGAGCTCGAATCAGGAGGACGCATCCCAAAACGGGACTGATTAACACCAAAAACTTGATCCTTTATCCTTTCCGCAGGTGTAATAGCGGTGCTACTTAAAATTGTGTTCCACTTTTTTGAGTGAATGTTCAAGTGCAGGGTAAATGAAAAGTGGATCAGATCTATGGTATTTTTTTGAATTTACTTTCAGACGAATAGAAGAGTATGTAGATGAAAATGTAGACTTGATATTCGCTGAGCGAGCTGAAAACTGGGAATTTGTGACAGAAACATATCTCGTGAAAAACTCAAAGCGGGCACTCAATTTTCTGAACGGTAAGTATTTTACTTTGAAAGTCTTTCCATTCACAGGGTTACTTCCCGACGTCGAAGGAGTAAGGCCTTACAAAACTCTAGTAGTTCCTCGCTCACAAGCTTTGAGGCATTGTAAAAGGAGGACGTGCAGTAGGGCTAGGAACGTAAGGTTACGGAAATTGCCACAAAACCGTTGCCGCTTGCTTGTACTAATACCGCCACCCTTATTGAAGTACTAGTCTAGTTGGTAACCGACTGAGGCGACAGCCAAGCAGAAATTGAGTGAACGAACCCAGTTTTTTGGAGAAATTCACAAAATCTTCTCTCTCGCCTGGCGAATATTGCAACTTTCACTATTCCCGAATATAAAGATTCCAGTTTCGACGGGCAGGTGGGTGAGGTGTACGGCAGGGGGCGGGTCCCTTATAGAAAGCCATTGAAAGATTTCTCTGTTGTTGTTGTGTAGAACAGAACCAATGGTATTTGAGTGATCCATTCAGGTCTGGCCGACTATGAATCCCGTGTGCCGAAGAGACTCCGTGGCAAACACAGCGCCATCATTCATGTTGGTACTTATTCTCAAAAGAGCTCCTGAAAAATGTTCGAGAAATTCTTCGCCATAATGAACATCTGTTTCGTACATATCGGGCTTGAAACCAGATTTTTGCGAAGATTATGCGTCAGCTGTGAAATGGAAGGGTGGGGGGGGGAGGAACTTGAGCAATCGCCTGAACTCGTACTGCATAATCCAAAGTACACACGAACTACCGCAACACACACTTTGTGCAAAGTCAAAGATGTAGTAGCTCAGAGGAGGATCTACTAGTCATTTCGCATGCAACCATTTTTCAATGCCAGTCAATTTCAATTTGTGACCTTCGCAGTTCCATCCCTATTATTTCATGACACCGCTGAAGGGGCTGACGGGACTTCATACGTCCAAGGGGTACGAAAGAAGTATAAACTGATTGCATATTCAAGAGATCACATCATTGTTCACATGCATACTAGTTGCTCCAAAAATTCTTCGTATTGGGAGAACCTTTATCGTTTTACGGTGTTACAGAGGCACTTTAGGAGTATCTCGCCGAGACCTTCCCCCCAGGAAATAGTTCTGGGCTAAAGACCTGTCATCAACTTCACAACAGACACGGGTTCACCAAAAAGGACGATTTGGTGTATCAGGCATGCGTAAGGAGAGTGCTGAACCCTTACAATCGCTATTCAATTGGCAATGTGAAAATCTTACGAAAGGTATGTCTATTGGCCTTGACTTAAGTATTTGAAATGTTCTGTTTTATTAAGATTTTCAGTATTATTTCGAATTTTAGCTTAGGTGAAAAAGAACTTGACCCATTATCTCTTCCACTGGGGGCTACAACCCACAGATGGAAGAGTAGCCGGATCTGCGGTCTTTGACGGACGCAATCCAAAAACGGCATCGATTGAATTTGGTTTTAAAGCTTTAATTATGGGGCGCAGTTTGGTTTTGCAAACAATTCCCAGGAACTTCAGGCTACAGCATGGACTCGTGAAAGCTGGACGACGAATAGTAAATGGAGCAAAGACCGTGACTTTATGTTGAGTTACGGTAATGAATCCGATATGATACCGTATCTCAGCGTTCCAGTACCGTAAGTTCTGCTTTCTTCAGGTTTATTATTCCAATTATTTAATTATTTATTTATTAATTTATTGTTCCAATTTCAACAGAGTATTTACGGCGTTAGGTTGATTTTTTCAATATACTTACTCTGATACCGTATTATTGAGCTACACAGGGTGCTTAGTAAAAACTGTGTTTTCGCTGATAAACATCGACTAACAAGAGGTATCAGTATGGGCGGGTGCAAATTCTTCTTTACCTACTTCATTGGCGATTCACTACTCGTTGATTGGGGCAAGAAAGTATAAACCCATTGGGGTGGCCTTTTAAAGATGTAAAAATTTTCCAAAAGTTTAAGTCAATTTGAAGTTATTTTTATTTGCAGTTTGATGTCAACAAAAAAAGCAACGTGGTACAATCCTCTGGAAGGCTCCATAGATATCATGCAATGTAAGAGCGGGTGAGCCTTTTTGATTCCATTTCCATTACCTTAACCTTATACCCTGCCTAAAACGCTCGCCTCCAGGACTGCCTAGGCATGGGAGAGCAGTACGAAGGTGATCAGCGCCATCCATCGGTCTTTTCTGATCAGTCAGTTATTAGAGGTATCCAGAGGAAAGCGAAGCAAGGAGCAACCTTTCCACCGACTTCCATAAATAAGAGCTTCCTGATGAAGGGCATTGGAGGAGTAGGTGTGGTCATGATGGTAGACTTGATTGACTTGCAACCTTGAGGAATACGAATGATAAAGTTTTCAAAAGCTTAGAGTGAAGACAAAAATTTTCAGGGGCTCTCCAGGCTGCTTAAAAAGTTAAAGGGAGAGATTTCCGCGGCTAGGAAATCAAATGGGACCCCACCCTCCTCAGGAAGGAGGTGGGAACCTAACTAATATTTGGATTTTCAAGCATGTTTAGGGACCGCTTTTTAGGGGCAATAATCGTGTTGGTAAGAATACACCCTCGCCAACAATCAGTAAGCTTGGCTCTGGCCACTACTTTCTTACCAGGGGTTACGTCTTCGGTCTACTGGTACGAGCTTGTGTAGAAGAAACCAGTGAACTGAAGATGCTAATCCCGTGCTGCGTCCTACAGAATTTTGGCCGCTGGTTTTCTGGCTCAATTTGCTGGGCAATATTGGAGAACGGTCTACGTATCGATCATCTTCAGTTACCCTACTTATACCTGCTACTTCTCGAGACGCTGATGCAATATTGTAAGGGCAGCAAACATCCTAAGTATTTCTGATACTCTCCTTGTAAACAGTAAACTCTCCCAGTGAACAGTAAACTCTCCTAGTAAACAAAACAGCAATAAATAAACAAACATATATTGCAGGAACACTACCTGGAATTATGACCCAAACTTGATCGCGGAGCCACACTACATCAATCACCACTTAAGGACGGTCGTTGCACGATATGAGAGAGAGTACGCAAAAGTTCAAAAACGTCTCAGAAAGATTTTGTAAATTACTTACTTCTAAGAAAGGGAGTAGAGCTTCTTCTACTTCGTGAACGGCTTACTTTCTTAGAAAGTGACAAAGCTTTGTTTCAATCTTCATTTTTGTGATGCTATTGTTGTTGGCATAGCCTATCGTTTTATAAATTACTGATGATTCTTTCCACTTTGTAGAAACCTCAGATCTATTTTTTACCTTTTTTTACTTCGTGTTCAAGATAACGGAGGAAAAGGCGATTTTCGGGAAAGTCTCTCATCTGTTGGCTAGGCTCTCGAGACTTTTGCACGTTCAGTATATACTGCTCCTTCTTTAGTGCCTCGTGGAAGGAAGAGAACTCACAATCAGAAAAACATTGGATATCCTCTGAAAAAGCAAAATGAATGCACTTTGTTTATGAATAGGGACTATCTAAAGTCATCGAAGCCCCTTTATTGGAGTTACCTACATATAGCCTCCCGCTCTCTATTTCCTCAACTTTGGCATGCTAATTGACTTGGGAGATGTTTTTTTCCAATTTCATTTTCTGTTGGCGATAGGAAAGTGACACAAGCTTTTTTCCCAACTAGTGTTAATATTTCCAAAGTCTTCGAGTGAGTTGTCCAAGATTTTGGCGTATTCCTTCTCAGAAACCAGAATTCGTTTAGTGCTAGGATTTTCTCTTTCCAACGCTAAGATCCATCTTTTCTAGCATGAAGCCACATACAGAAGTCAAGGAAAGGGTTTTTTACTATCTAAGCACGGGTGAAATCTGAGTAATTTGGGTATTGGAGTATTCGAATTCCCACGGCGAGCAGCTGTGGTTTCACCGTTACCGTATTCATCCTCCGGAAATTCAAATGTCCCCCTTGGCAGTGTTCGATTGCATTTGCGATTGGATGCAGTGAGCACGGGATGCGTTCGGGCGAAAACACCCGCACCCTCTGAAAAATACTTCTAAGAAGGCGACAGAGTTATTGTCAAACGGAATTCCTCGCATGAGGAAGGTAAGGCAGAGAGCAGCTCGTCTTACATACCTGCCAAGGAAGGGCGCGTCTGTTCGGCGGCTGCGCTTCTCTCCAAAACCTTATCTTCATCAAGAAACAAGAGGTTTACAGTCAGGTTCAGAAGAACTGAAAGCGTCTTGAAGACTCTCACACTCTTAATTAACTGAACCGAATAAAGGAGAAAAGGAAGGAATGAAAATGTGAAGAGATATGGGTGACTCTAACTGGCTACTGCCTGACCACTCAAAAAACTGGGATCTCGGGCAGGTAGATGCCTGGTTTTGATGCAACCTCGACGAATAGCTGAGAAAACAAAATAGGCAACAAATAGCTGTTTTGTAGACGAACCAGTTCTTCTTACCTCTTCCTACTTTGCCGATAAATACTAGTAACAACAAGGTTGCTGAGTCATCCTTCTGAAGGCCAACGACGATCCTGTAACCTCACACGACGGTCAGAGAAATTCAATGTCATACATGTCAACAAGTTCATAAGAGACTTTTTATATGCCCTTCCAGTACTTGTGATTATGAGAAAAGAGCCCGTCAACTCCGCTACTTCAGAGTTCACAGTGCGACATGAACCTCAGAAGGTCGTCAGTCACAAACGGACACTCGTCTCTATAGTTTGTTTGGAGATCTCTCTTGAAACCGAAGAACACTCACACTGTATGACTTCCTGAAATCGCTATTTCGTCTATGATATTGGGTTTTTTATTTCAATGTTGTTGACGCTTCTCATTTTTATGTCTACTGAAATGCTCGTGTTGGCTGGGTGTTCTTAAACTTGCATAGATTACTGCTGTCCATTTACTTCTATGTATATTTATGAACAAGCCGGCATTTTGTTCGAAAAATCGGCCCCAAAGGATATCCCACGCAATGGATACACCGCTGTTCAAGTGGCGCACTATCAGACATCCATGCTGTCGATGAAGTCCTGAATCGACACTCACCCCCCAGGTCGACCAAACTTTCCATCCCACCGAGGTCGATACCAGACTAGTCTGAGAGGATAAAAGCACTTGCTTGTTCATCGTTTGGTCACCGTATTGGACCCAGAGGCATTCAAAACGCCACTACGATCTTGAATGGAAGTCGAATGTGAGGCGCATCCCAAAAACGGGTAAACGTCAGGGAACGTTGCCCTTTGTCCACATCCACCTACTTTTCCGTAACTTTACTATGCACTATTTACTTATAGTAGATCGATTTCTATCTAAATACTGCTTCATAAGGAATGCTGTCAAAAAAGTGCATAAGGAGCCAAAAATTTCCAAAAAGGCTCGGTCACAGTGCACCGTTGATCTCTCGGTAGATCAGAAAATCGATCAATGCCGATGTGCTTTGGAGCGTAATTTGGCACACATTATTGACATCGAATTTTCCTTTCATGATAGTTGTTATATTGCCTACCTGTTAATCTCAGCTATATTCTCCAATTTCTCTCTTGTTTTAACCTCGGCATTGTCGTTTACGTTGTTAGAATTCTCCTACTGTTCGAGGTTTTCAGGTGGAACACTTTATTAAGTTAATGGCCTAACGTTTCGACGTAATCGTCGCCTTCAGAGGCTAGGCTCCACCGTCAAAGCGGATAGAATTCGCTGTCTCCCCAGGCGACTTTCAGTAGCGATTTGCTGGCAGCAGCGAATTCTGTTCGCTTTCACGATAAAGCCTCATTACAGTTATGATGTTAGATATCATTGGATAACCTCATAAGTTACACAAGTAACACATCATTTTTTATGGATTATCATTAATCAAGTATCGCTGATGATCATGAACTATCATTATCAGAGATCATAATAATTGTCTTGTCAACTGTCACAACCGTATCATTTATCATCATGGACTGTACAAATAACATTGCCCTGCTCATCCAGTATTTCGGGTAACTTCTTAAGGTGTATGTCTCTAAGTCAAGACTGGAGTACTGTGCTGTGACATTGGGAGAAACGTCATAGTGGCTATTGAGGTGGCCAATGTCGTGAGTGTGATAGTTGTTGTTAGCAGCAGGCGATTAGTTGTTGTTTACATATGCTAAAAAGGCATAAGTAGCACAGTGGCTAAATGACCTAGGTAATAACAAATCCCGTTAGAGCAGTTCGACCTTTTATTCCTTTGAAAGCTTTCAGTCCATTTAAGGAAAGTTCAACAAGTTATGTGAACCTCTAACTTCTTGGACATTCCTTGAATGAGCTGAATGAATGATTGGTTTATAAACAAATCAATTCGATGTGATTAAAACAATATAAGCCAGCGGGAGAAGTGTTTCATAGCTCAGGTGAGGACAAAACCTAGAAATCAGGTGAAGGTGGGGTGTTGGCAAGTGGCGCACTATCACACGCATGACCCGGAATCCGGTGCGCCACTTCCGGATTGATACCTGCCCAGGCCAACCGAGGCCTCCATCCTTGTAGGGTCGGTTAATTAATACCGAACTCGTCTGGGAGGATAAAAGTGCTGTTTTGTGTATCGTGTGGAGATTGCAAATCGTTGTGTCGTCACTGTACTCATTCAGGAAGTCACTAAAATTCTTAAAGAGAGTCGAATGTGGTGGCGCATCCCAAGTACGGGATTGACCAACGCCGAAAAACTTGATCTTTTATATCTTAACAGACAGGTTTGCATAGTGGGCTAGAACTCAGACAAACCAAAAGGTCGATCCTTCAAGTGGGTACCCCACCAGGTTTCACTACCCAGAAGGTCGACCACTAATAGAACTTGGCGCCTTTCCAAACGGCGCCAGACGACCTTTTACGAGTTAATCCGCTGGAAAATAGCCATTTGTAGTCCGTCCAGCCCGTCATCCACCAAAATCCAGTGAATACGCTACCGGCCCTTCTGCTATTAAAATAAGCCTGTCAGACAGAACGGATAGCAGTGATTCCAGGCCTTTTGAAGGGTGCGACCACATCTATTTGAGGAGGCCAAAGTGGATTACGGTACCTATTGAGTTACCGCTGCAAGAACCACTTCCATGCTTTCTCGAACATTTTCGCGTTAGAGGATCGTCCTCTAGTTGATCTCGCCCGAACCTTTGCGGCTTTCAAGCTAATTATTGAAAGTTTCCTTTCAAAAATTACTACCACATGTTTCCCACATGGCGAGGCATTTGAGAGTCGCACCCAGGGAACAGAATCCGTCTTTCTCAAAGAGTTGACTGAATCTGACAAACGCACCACCAACTTCATGGTGTCAATGGCCTTTCTCAGCCTCCATGGACAACGGCGTCATCTGCGTGGCTGCAACGGCGATGGCGGAGGAGGCCAACGGCCTCGTTTGCCTTCGTCTAGCGCCACTCGCTCTCTGTTTACTTGATAGGCACATATGTCCTCGTTCTTATAGCGTGCACGCCTTTCTCTATTCAGCCTTCTCGTCGTCGCCAGCTCGCTCGTTTCGCTTTACTCTTGCCATCGTTAGCAACTTATACGTCAGGCAGGTAGCAACAGTCGCCAAACGCCATCGATGGCACCTTTCTGACTTCTCAGTCTTCCTGGGACCCTTTCAATGATCTATTTTCCTCTGAAATCTTCATTTTTGCCTCAAAAGGTTAGACACTTTAAAGTAGCGAATGATTTTGATTGGTAATTGGTAAATTTTGATGATATCGGTAAATCCTCTTACGTACAAGTCCAACTTAGAGCTTGGGTGACTTTCTCAAGAGGGTTCTAGTACAGTGCCATATGATGACATAGCTGAGTGATGATTTGATAAGTTCTCAGATTGCATTTGGGCTGTTATACCCTGAATAGCCCCCTATTCCACCCTCTTCAACCTCTGAATCGACGGGTCGAGACTTTT